ATCTGCCTTACCCCTTGACTTCTGGTCTTTAGAGATCTATTTCCTTCCTAAACAAATGCAGTGACATGGCCTCCACAGCTTTCTTTGGTAAAGAATTCCACAAATCTTCCTCTGAGTGCAGAAATTTCTTCTCCGTAAGTCCAAAAGAGTTTACTGATTATCCTGATACTGGAACCCTTTATTCTGGACATGCAGAGGATGGAACTTCATCTCTGTATCCAGTATGTACAGCTCTGGCAGAATTTTGTTTCAATGAGGTCCTCTTGTTCTTCTAAACTCTAGTGACTACCAGCTCAGACAACCTAATCCTTCCTGAAATGACAAACCTGTCATCCTAGGAATCAATCTGGTAAATATTCATTGCACTCTCTTTATAGCAAGTATATCTTTTGTTAGGTAAGGAGACAAAAGAGCACAAAATACTCCAGATGTAGTCTCACCAAGGCGCGATACAGCAGCAGTAAGACTTCTTTGCTCCTTTCCTCAATACAGCTTGCAATGAAGGCTAACGTACCACTTGAGCTCCTAACTGCTTGTTGGACCTTGAAGTTTGCTTTCAGTGAATGCTTTAAAAGACAACATTTCCCAATCCATCACCATTTAAATAATCCTTTGCCATTCTGTTTTTGCTACCAAGTAGACAACTTCACACCTATTCATCCTATGCTACATCTGCCATGCGTTTGCCTGCTCACTTGTTTATAGTGCCTTAAAGGCTCTTTATATTCTCACGCCACTCATTACCCCACCTAGCTTTGTAGCATCAGCAAGTTTAAAAATATTACATTTGATTCCCTTATCCAAATCATTTTCATATATAGATATTGTAAATAGTTGATGTTCCAAGCACTGATGCCTCCCAGTACCTCACTCGTCACCACCTTTCACTCTCAAAATAATCTACTTATTCCAAGTCAGTTTCCTGTCTCCTAAACCTATTTCTCAGTCAATGTCAATGTATTACCACAAGTGTCATGTGCTTTAATTTTGCAATAACTTTCGTGGGCCATTTATCAAAAGCTTTCTAATAATTCTAGTACACTACATTCAATGGTTCTCCCTCATCTAATCTACTAGCCATTTCTTAAAAAATCTTTAGTAGGTTTGTCAAAAAATATTTCCTATTCACAAATCCATGTTGATTTTGTGAAATCCCATTGGTATTTTCTAAATTTTTTTCTGAAGAAGGGTCTCGACCCGAAACGTCAGTTTTCCTGCTCCTCTGGTGCTGCTTGGCCTGCGGTGTTCATCCAGCTCTACACTGTGTTATCTCAGATTCTCCAGCATCGGCAGTTCCTACTATCTCGGTATTTTCTAAGTGTCAAATTATCACATCCTTTATAACAGACTCCAGCAATTTCCATACTTCTGTACTGCTTATGTTAGACTAACCAGACTGTAATTTTCTGTTTTCTTGCTCCCTCTCTCCTTTAAATTGTGCAGTTCTATTTACCACCCTCCAATCTACCAGGACGCTTTCTAAAGCTACAGAAATTTTGAAGATTACAACAAATACACCCATTATTTCCATAGCCTCTTCCTTTAGTACCCGGGGATGTAAAATATTAGGCTCTAGTGATTTATCAGCTTTCAGTCCAATTAATTTCTTCAACACTTGTTTTTATACTAATCGCCATCAATTCCTCCTTCTCATGAGACCCTTGTTTCCCTAGCATTTCTGAGAAGTAATTTGTTTTCATCTATAAAGGCAGAAGTAGTCATTAAATTACTCAGCCACTTCCTTGTTCTCTATGATCAATTCTCCTTTTCAGATTGTACAGGGCATATGTTTGTCTTCACTAATCTTTTTTACATATTTAAAAGTGGACCATAAGAGCTTCCAAATGTGTCTTTTTTATTCTCACCCTATTTTTCTCTTCATAATCAACTTCTTGGTCCTCATTTGCTGAATTCCTAACTGTTCCAAGTCCTTAGGCTTGCTACTTTATCTTGCAGATTTATATTCTTTGAATCTAATACCATCAATAATTTGTTAGCCATTGGGCCACTTTTCCTTTGGTGTTGTTTTGCCCAAAAAGTGTCTTTAACTGTTATAATGCATGTATTACTTAAATATGAGCCATTGCTTATTCATTGGTTAACTTCATTAAAAGACATAACAGTTTATTGTGGCCAAATCACTCTTTATACCTTTGTAGTTTACTTAGAACCCTAGTTTTGGGTTGCATTATTTCACTTTCTATCACAATGAAGAATTCTATTTTGTTACATTAACTTTTGTTTCAAAAGGACCTCTTATAACAAGATTACTAACTAACCCCTTTTCTTGTTCAAAACCAAATCTGGAATAGCTTGTTCCCTAATCAGTTCCTTATGCAGGAATTCATCTGCCAAAGTATTATTGCTAATGTATTTATGCTCAGTATATAATTAATTTCACACGCTTGCTGCATACATCTCCAACTTCCTTTTTAATGCCATTTCCTATCTTATCAGTACTGTGTGAAGGCCTATAGACAATTTCCACTGATTTATCCCACCCAGAGTCTTGTTACTCCTCCAAGATTGATGTGACTTTTTTTTACACCAATATCCTTTCTCACTATTGCACTGATTTCATCTTTCATGAACAATGCTATTTTGCTTTTATTCCCATGTGGGTGTCGCTGGCTGGCCAGCATTTATTAACTTTTCCTAGTTGCCTTCAAAAAGATGATGGTGAGCGGTCTTATTGAACCACTGTAGTCCACATGCTGTAGGTTGACCCACAATGTCCTTGGGGAAGGAATTCCAAGATTTTGACCCAGCAATAGTGGTGATATATTTTCAAGTCAGGATAACTGGGGCTTGCAGAGGAAGTTGCAGGTGATGGCGTCCTTATATGTCTGCTGCCTTGCCCTTCTCAATGGAGGTGGTCATAGGCTTGGTGAATTTCTGCACTGCATCTTGTACATGGTACACCCTGCCACTACTGAATGTGAGTGTTGTAAGAGAGTGGATGCTTGTGGATTTGGTGCCAATCAAGTCAGCTGCCTTGTCCTGGGTGGTGTTAAGTTTTTTGAGTGCTGTTGGAGCTGCACCCATTCAGGCAAGTGTGGAATATTCCATCACACTCCTGATTTATGCCTAGTAGATAGAGGACACACTTTGAGCAGTCAGTAGGTGAGTTACCCTCCACAGAATTCCTAGCCATGTATTTACGTGGCGAGTCCACTTGAGCTTTTGGTCAATTGTAACCCCAAGGATGCTGATAGTGGGGGAATTCAGTGAATCCTAAAAATCCTTGGGCGCTCACTTCCCAGCTTTATTCACTCTGCAGCCATGTCGCATGTAATCACAATGATATTTTCCCCATTTACAACTACTTGTGCTGTTAATTCATTTACCTATTGCAAATCCTCTTTGCATTCATATATATAGATTTGTCTTTTTGACATTATTGCACTGTTTTTGTACTCCAGTCCTATTTTCTTAGTCTTTGATTCTTCTGCTTTTTATTTTCTATCTTTCAAGTCCATCTTTGTGTCCTTCACTGCTGTCTCCCGGTTCAGGTTCAGGACCCGTCATGCTGGTTCCTCACCTACAGAACTAGTGAACCTTACTAGGAGGATTCTAGTCCTAGCCTTGCTGGGATGCAACATGTCCAGCTTATAGGGATCCCATCTTCCTCAGAATTGGTCCCACTGCCTCAAAAATCTAAATCCTTCCCATTATGCATTCAACTAGTCTATTCTCCTATTCCTTATGCAGTGGGAGTAATTTCTGAGATTACTACCTCAGAGGTCTTGCTTTTTTAATTTGTAGCTCCTTCTATTCCTCTTGAAAGACCACATCTCTCTTTTTACCATGTCGGTGATAGTGACCTGGACAGCAATCTCTGACTGGTCTCCCTCCCTGTTCAGAATGTCCTGCAACTGTTTGGTGATAGCTACAAGGGAGGCACCTGCCCTAGTGTCATTGCAGTGGAAGAAATGCCTCTTTGTTCTCCTTAGGAACCCTTAACACTACTGCTCCCCAGCTCATTTCCTATTGCATAATGTTCATCAACTCATTAAACATAAATAACAAAAAGCTTTAAATCAAGTGATTGTATGCATCACAAATCCTGTCCTCTTTTTACCTATCCACATACTGATCACTTTGTTGATAATGACTGCTTATACAAGATGGACATTAGATGCAACTGTCTTATTTGACTCTCTTAATAAAGAGGTCTTTTTACTGAGAGTAGATATTGGAAATTCTGATACATGTTGCCACAGGATTTTCCCATTTTAATTCAACTATTGTAAATTTGGGCACAGTAAACATCATACCTCAAAAGTTACGTTCCTGGAGAAATCACAAAATTATTTCGTGTTACTGGATAGTTAAACACAATTAGGCCCTGAACGGAATCAAATGGAGTTGTTTTATATTGGAAATATAATTACAGCATATGAAAAGAACGGGATATCAGTAAACCCTACTGATTTTACTTAAAGCTCCTGAACTACAGGGACTGGCCTCAGTCATCAGGAAAACGTACACTAGTAATGAGCCTTGAAAGACTACTCGGCTTTGAAAAGTCTAGACAAAAGAATCAATACCTAATGATGTAGGTCCTGAGGCTTTAAGCAACTGATTATGTATATTACCACTTAGCCTGAATTTAGGATGCAAACTTTTGAAAGGTATATTTAGCACATAGCTTCCCCAAATTCATTCAGCAATTACATTCCTGGTCCCACTGGGAAGAATTACTTGAATTTACAAAGCGTGTATCGTTTTAACGATAAAACATTTACCTGTCAATATCAAGCAGAAAAATCTGACGCAGCCTTTCTGGTGAGGTGGTGCAGCTTTGCTAGATTACAGAACTGGGAAAATGTATAATGTTTATAGGACTAATTGAAGAAATATGCATTTTTCAGGAGATAATTTGCTGTGTTACAAGTTATGTCAAAAAAATGAATAATGACTGATAATGTTTATGTATAATAATCTCTATTTTAAAGATTTTAGACTTTAAGATGGAATGAATTCAGCTTTGAGCATTAACTTTTGACATTATTTAGGTTTATTGGAATAACAAGACATATTACCACAGCTATTTATTTCAACAGTAGTTACACAAAACATCAGCTTTTTCACAATTACTGATAACAATTACAAAGCCATATATTAAGATATTTTGACATTAAACAATATTAGCAGCCAAGCTAACAAACACATTGGAAAAAGTCAAAGAATATTTGTTTAACAACAATAACAGATTATGTATCAAAAGCACAAGTCCCAGGCACTGTTCAACTGTGACATACACAATTAAAATCAGAGAATCCACATAAACACCACTATCATAACAAATGAATACTTACAACAGTAAAGCTAATATTCATATTTAATATTTGAACAAATACACAGTGCACTTAATACTGACCACATTTACAGTTAGTACTTGCAGGGTGACAAATACTAAAATTACAAACACAAGGTATGTTAGCTCACAATCACAATGGTATATGATACAAAAAACATTAAATAATATCACTGTCATATATTACTTATACATATAACACCGTCTTGATAGAATTAATCTAATACTTGATGTAAATGCTAGTAAAACAAACCACAAAAAAGGTGTGATATCATGAAGATAGCCAAGTGAAGAATTTCTAAGAACGCAATGTGTCTTGGATATACCATTTATCAAACAAATCTTCAAGAAATTACTTATTTTTTTCTTCACAGGATGCTTTCCCGCTCTTCCCCATATGAATCACTGGGACCAACTGCATGCAGCTCAGAAGCGGTACCTTTTGTGTGCTTGACAAAATTTGATTGAGCTTTAGATGCAAGGCCCCGTTTAATACCTAAACCTCGTAGGTTGTCATTCTTGAATGAAGCTGCATATGTATCATTCTGGACTGGTGACTTGCCCACAGCTGAGCCTACTGTTGCATGGACAACTCGAGGTGCATTCTTTGCCAAATGCTCAGGATCACCGGCAGTTTCTCGGAATTCTTTGCTCCCATTTTCATCTGTATTCTGCAGCCTGGTAGAAGGATTGCTGTTGTTATTCAGCGTCTCTGTGCTTGCTGTTCTGTTGATGTTGGTTACATTAAACATTTTGTGAGTGACAGGCCAATTTTCCTCTGGACTACTGGCCAACAGGCTGCATTCAGAGGTGGAACCAGTAGGGCTCTTCTTATCTTCAGAGCATATTGACATACGGGCAACACTCGAGTCTTGAAGGCCACTTAAACTGTTAGGTATACCTCTTTTATCTCTGGACTGATCATCTTCCAACTCTATCAAGTTAGTCTTCTCCAACTGACTGTCTTCAGTTTCATCACGGAGGGAGTGGTTTGGCGAACTTTCACTGGATCTGACGCCAGAGTCTGATGAATCTTTTTTATCAAGCATGGCATCAGAAAGATATTCCTTCGATTTAATGAGGGATCGAACAGCTTCATTTCCATTTTCAGTTGAATTGGTTTGTTTTTCATTTTTCCCTCCTATCTTCCCACCTTTAAGAAGTCGGTTATAATCAGCTTCTTCTTGACCAGATTCATCTTCATCACTGGGTAGTTTCTGATAATGCAAGCCTTTCAGTGTTAAATCTGCACCTTGGAAGATATTCCCCTTGTCTGAAGATTTCTTCCGAGACAGAAGTTTTGATGTCGAAGGGTCTGGTTTTTCATCTTCTTCAGTGATGGGATCTAACGGTGATGCATCAGATGTAGAAACAGTGGATGATGTATAATCGCCAAGGTCACTCATAGAAGACTTGCCTCCACGTGGAATATTATCTCTCTTTACCACAAAAGATTTCTTATCATCATATTGCTTCTGCTCAGCGTCTTGCTCCAATGTGGTTTGAAAGGGAGTTCCTGAAATGCCCTTCCCCATAAAAAGCTGACCAGAATTGTAGGGCGCAGACAGATTAGACTTGTCAGTGTTGGCAGTTGTGGAGATGGATGGATCATCTAACTGAGCCATCTGTGCAATATATTCTTTATAGGCATCCCTGTATTCAGCCTGCTGCTTGTCTGTGAGTCTGGAAAGATCATTGGAAGATTCCAGAGAGTTGATACTTGAAGCACTTGGTGTTCTTTGATGATTTAACTAAAAAAACAAATTTATCACAAACTTTTATTAACTACTGTACTTATAATGTCAACGAGAAATCAAAGATACTTACACCTAAATTTCACCTCACCAAATGCCAATTTTTAATATCTGCATCTGAGGAGAACTCTCTAAAACATGAAGCAGTCATGCATCTTTGGAGAAAACTGGTGCCTCAAACATTGCAGCTGCATACCACACTAATCTTGGGATAAGTGCATTGCTACAGAACTGAGTCAGAGACAGAGATTGCATGTTTAATCTTTGATCTTTTTCTAATTTTAAACATCTCAGTTACATCACACCTCAACTTTCTAAATGATGGAATCTAAACCAAAGTTTATGCAATCTGTACTTACAATACAACCCTTTAATTTACAACATCATTCTGCTGAAACTGAATGATACTCAAGGCCAATTATATCCTTGTGATGTTGTGCTCAAAACTTAACACTAACCAAAACTGGGGTGACAAATGCTCTGTGTAACTGAAGCATCTCTTCTTTGCCCTTTCTGTTCAATAGCACTTTTAATTAGCTTTTGATTACATTTTGTACCTGTTTAGTACAGTGTGTACCATGACATCCATTGCTTTTACCCTCGATAGTTTCTACTTATTCACCATTCAGGAAATTTTCCAGTGTGCTCTTATTGGATCCACTTTAGATCCAAGTGATAATGAGAATCCAGAGACAGCATGTTCCTGTTAGGGTGAAGGGCAAGGCTAATAGGTGTAGGGAATGCTGGAGGACTAGAGAAATTGATGCTTTGGTCAAGAGAAAGAAGGAAGCCTGTGTCAGGTATAGACAGCAGGGATCGAGTGAATCCCTAAAAGATGATAAAGGCAGTATACTTAAGAGGGAAATCAGGAGGGCAAAAGGGGACATGAGACAGCTTTGGCAAAGAGTTTTAAGAAAAATCCAAGGGAATTCTACAAATTCATGAAGGACGTCTTAAAACACAAAGATGGATAAATCCCCAAGACCTGATCAGGTGTATCCTAGAACTTTGTTGGGCCCCTGGCTGAGATATTTGTATCATCAATAGCCACAGGTGAGGTGCCAGAAGACTGGAGGTTGGCTAACATGATGCCACTATTTCAGAAAGGTGGTAAGGAAAAGCCAGGGAACTGTAGACTGGTAAGCCTGACATCGGTGGTGGGAAATTTGTTGAAGGGGATCCTAGGGGACAGGATTTACCCGTATTTGGAGAGGCAAGTACTGATTAGGGATAGTCAACATGGCTTTGTGTGTGGGAAATAGTATCTCACTAACTGACTGAGTTTTCTGAAGAAGTAACGAAGAGGATTGAGGAGGGCAGAGCGGCAGACGTGATCTACGTGGACTTCAGTAAGGTGTTCAACAAGGTTCCTTATGGTAGACTGGTTAGCAAGGCTGGATCACACGGAATATAGGGAGAATTAGCCATTTGGATACAGAACTGGCTCGAAGGTATGAGATAGACGGTGGTGGTGGAAGGTTGCTTTTCAGACTGGAGCCTGTGACCGGCAGTGTGTCGCAAGGATTGGTGCTGGATCCACTGCTTTGCATCATTTATATAAATGATTTGGATGTGAACATAGGAGGTACGGTTAATAAGTTTGCAGGGACACCAAAATTGGTGGTATAGTGGACAGCGAACAAGGTTACCTCAGAGTTCAATGGGACTTTGATCAGATGGGCAAATGGGCTGAGGAGTGGCAGATGGAATTTAATTTAGATAAATATGAGGTGCTGCTTTGGAAAGGCAAATCTGGGCAGGACTTATACACTTAATGGTAAGGTCCTGGGGAGTGTTGCTGAACATACTGACCTAGGAATGCAGGCTCATAGTTCCTTGAAAGTGGAGCCCTAGGTAGACAGGATAGTGAAGAAGGTATGTATTGGTCAGTGCATTGAGTATAGGAGTTGGGAGGTCATGTTGTGGCTGGACAGGACATTGGTTAGGTCACTTTTGGAAAGAGCATTCCATTCTGGCCTCACTGTTACAGGAAGCATGTTTTGAAATTTGAAAGGGCTCAGAAAAGATTTACAAAGATGTTGCCAGGGTTGGAGGGTTTGAGCTACAGGGAGAGACTGAACAGGCTGGGGCTATTTTCCCTGGAGCGTCAGAGACTGACGGGTGACCTTACAGAAGTTTATAAAATCATGAGGTGCATGGATAGGGTAAATAGCCAAGATCTTGATCCCCATGTGGAGCAAGTCTAGAACTACAGGAGAAAGGTTTAAGGTAGAAGTGGAAAGATTTAAAAAGGGACTTAAGGGGCAACTTTTTCCACACAGAAGGTGGTGCATATATGGAATGAGCTGCCAGAGGAAGTAGTGGAGGCTGGTACAATTACAACATTTAAAAGGCATCTGGATGGGTATATTAATAGGAAGGGTTTAGAGGGATATGGGCCAAATGCTAGCAAATGGAACTAGATCAATTTAGGATATGTGGTCGGCATGGACGAGTTGGATCAAAGGGTCTGTTTCCATGCTGTACAGCCCTATGACTATTACACACAACTGCACAATGCACCTTATTCACCAGCATATGGTCCATTCATTTAATTGTTATGGCACTTTAAATGACTCAATGGTTCCAATGCTAACCTGCCAACTAGAAGTGCTATGTCGTGCTGGTTCTTCAACATCAACAGCTCTCAGTTCCTCAAAGCTGAAAGTTAGGCTGAAGGTTTCCTTTGAGGAATGTCCAGGAAGTTCAGAGTTTCCAGCATAATCACTATTTGCTACGTGAAGAGCAGAATTTTGTGCTGGTGCATTTTCTCCAGCAGCTCTCATTTCTTCTTGAAGTACTTGTGCATCCAAGTGGCGCATCTCAAACACCTAAGGAAAAAAAACAAAAGAATGCAATAACTTATTTACTCAATGGGATATGGTATGTTCAATTATTACAGGAATGTAGTAAATATTTAGTTTAATGGAAAATTCAGTTTTAATACCTACGAAACTAAATTACAAAGCCATTCACATAACAGGCCTATCATTAATGTTTTTAGATTTTTGTGATGTACGAAGCAATTCTTTTCCCTGCCTACTCAAAAGAAGTCCTTTTTTAAAAAAAGCAGGAAAAATAGCAATTATTTCTTCGTAGTGTTGTGAAAAGACAACAATGCCATGAAGAGATGAACAATCCCTTTAAAGTGCTCCTTATTCAGATCTTGCTTTGTTTCCAAGAATGTTATATAAAATATGCACAAATGCATATCCAAATCACAAAGCCAATACCAACCTACTGCAGCTTCAAAAAGCAAATAACAAATGCAAAAGTATCTTCAGAGTGATTTTTAAAAAAATGCTGATCTAATTTAGCCTGCAGACAAAGACTAACACAATAACAGCATGTGAAGTTTACTGGTAGTGTTTTCCTCCAACAAGGATTTAATGATAAAAATGTCCTTGCATAGTAATGTTCAATCGAAGTAGAATATTTAGAAACAGAAGCAAGAGGAGCAGCAATGTGGGGGACAAATAGAATTCTCTGGCAGGAGGGAAACATTATAGCAAAGCAATCGCATTTCTTGAACAGAGAAGAAAGGAAGCAGAAAGTGAAGCAAAATGAAAATAAAAAATAAAACTGGCATATATGGTGGGTCAACAAGCAATAGATTAGTGTCTAAAGAGTTTCCATGTTCATTTGACAGTGTCAGTTGTGATGACTAAGAAAAGAGTTGGTTTTCTAGTGAAATAGGTAAATCTCAGATTAGTGCATAAAAAAGCTGCCAAAGAAAGGCATCTGGGTGGGCACACTGGCTCAGTGGTTAGCACTGCTACTTCACAGTGCCAGGGAACTGCGTTTGATTCCATCCGTGGGTGACTGTGTGGAGTTTGTACATTCTCCCCATGTCTGTGTGCATTTCCTCTGGGTGCTCCGGTTTCCTCCCACAGTCCAAAGATGTGCAGGTTAGGTGGATTAGTCATGGGAAATGCAGGGTTACAGGGATGGGGTGGGTCTGGGTGGGGTGCTCTTCAGGAGGGATGGTGTGGACTCAATGAGCCGAATGGCCTGCTTCCACACTCTGTTTGGATTCTAATGATTCTGAGTGTAACAAAGTGACCTGACATCCATTTGTGAACATGATGTTGCATAAAACTGTAACAACACATGCATTTATATAGTACTGTTAACACAGTAAAACATCTCACGAGAGGTATCAAGCAAAACGTGACAAAAAAGCTACAAAAGGAAATAGTAGGTCAGATAACCAAAAGCTTGGCCAAAGAGGAAAGCTTTAGTGTCATAGGAGATTGAGGCGCAAGGAGGCTCAGGAAGGAAATTCCCGAGTTTAGATTCTCAGCACTCAAAAGCACTGAAAACTGTGGTGAAAAGAAAACAACATATTTATATAACACTTTTCCTGGCTACATTACCTCTTAAAAGCGACTTAAAGACAATAAAAACATAATTTAGCTAGTCAGACAGAGTTAGGCAATTTCACTATTTGTCAGTAAACTGTCTTAAAGATGGCGCAATTGTGTGATTGAAAGCTCATCTTGGGGTCAAATACATTAGGCTGGTTCAACTTCACACAGCTGTCAAGAGAAAGGGATGGTTTTGATGTCTGGGAAATAGTGTCTGTAGTGGTCATGAAGCATAGTAGCTTGGTCTTTAAGATATATTGTTAAATTAATTCTGTTCGTGCCGTACTAAATTTTGGACAGACAGTCTAATGTTTTAAAGATAGAGAAGGGGTCAAAAGAGGTGCTGCTGAGGTACAGCAAGGCGTCATCAGCTGCCATCCATATTTTAACAGGTTTTCGGATGATGTTGAGAGGGCAGCTTGAAGATCAGAAGTAGGACACATAAATGGTAAATCCTTAGGGGTCTCCAGAAGTAACACTGTGAAAGTGGGAACAGAAGTCATTAAGGTGATACTCTGGCTACAACTGTGTGTGCAAGAATGGAACCAAATACGTGCAGACCCACTGAGCTTGATGATGAAGGTCAACATTGTGAGGAAAATAAACAGAAAGCCAGGTTGGGAATCCTTTTCCTGAAAGCCTCAGGGCCAACCGGTTTTCAGAAAAAGGGTACTTTCATTCCTTGGATCCACAATAGTCCAAACAGGCTCTTTTGCTCAACTTGAAAGGACCTAAAATGTGAAGTTCCGCCCACGCCCCACCCCTTCAGAACTCTGTCTACAGGTACGTTCAGGCCTACTGAAAAGATCTTTGGTTTGTCAGTCTTTTTGGTTTTCCAACATATGGATAATGGGTCCCTGACCTGTATAATACTTAATATACGATAAACATCCAATACATAGAAACTGTCTTATCGAGAGGCAAGACAATTATATTTGCATACATTTGCTATTTTTTGCCAGTGTATTCATTCACTCATGAATGTATTTTTGGAACACAGAATTAATGCACAAAAAAAAAAATCCTAAACGCATTGATAATAGAGCAAAAATTCATCCTACCATGTTCCTAAAAAGTTGCCAGTCACCAAAATTCATGTTTAATTCTTTCTTCAATTCATCCAGATTGCATTGAATTAATACCCTCCCATTAATGTTTGCCTGAATTAAAAAAAAATAGAATATCAGTGTCAAAAATTCAGTCAAAAGTAAATAAAAACAATATGTCCAAGTTCCAATATCAGCATTGCAATTAAAAGGTGGGAGATAAATACAGCAACAAAGACAAAGCGTCAATAGTGATTTCTTACATTTATGTATTATTATATAGACAATCTACATAAAAATCAACCCATCAGATGTATGGCTAATTCTTGTGTTTGCCATTTCACAAACCCATGACCTCTGGGAACAATAAAAGGATCTTTACAGGAGTGTTCTTTCATCAATTAAAATTCATTTTTTTCCATAATGGTGCAATAATGCTTATTATTGTTCCCTCCTTTAATTATTTAATCTATCAAACAGAAATTGAGAATTTGCTTAGCAGCATTACAATATCAAGCTACTTGGTGGTTTGAAAAAGATCCACAAAATTTTTTTGCTCTCCAAATCTCAATTATTTTCTCATCTTCTTAAAAGTGCCAACACAAGGATCAGTAACATTACAATATATTGCAGCACCACCATCAAATTTAATGGATATTAACTCTAGTAGAAACAAAAAAAGAAATTGCTGAAAAAGTTCATTAGGTCTGGCAGCATCTGTGGAGAGAAATCAGAGTTAACGTTTTGGGTCGAATGATCTTTCCTCAGAACGTTCTAGTAATACCAGTCGAGTTTGATGTGTTTTTTTGGCTTCACATTTTTCCATTGGAGGGCAATGCGAAGCAGTGGAAGGATCTGTAGACTTAATAACAACTTAACATGCCAACATGCCAATACTGGCGATGGAGAAACAGTGGGACAGTGACACCAAGTCAACTGCTCTTGCAAAAAGCAGACACAAATACAGCCTCCTTCAGTGCTGTAACCATTGTATGATTCTAACTTGAACACTCTTTTCATGGTTATGGACGGTTTTTAATGCCAGTTGATAGGATCATTAATGTTATTTTAGTGACAGAAATTTACGCATACCAAAAAGTCATGCACTTGATTCAGCAGGAGAGCTTCGGGAGGCTCTGAATCCTGTACTTTCTGACTTGGAGCTGCCATTAAGTTAAAGGCTCATGTCCTGTGAAGTTAATGCAACATTATTTAATAATTGCGGGTTCCTACCTTTCTGATAGTGGAAATGTACTGAAACACCATGGTTTGGTCAATTCCTTCCAACTGTTTAAGTTTTTCACAAATAGCATCCACATTCATTGAACTGAGTGGAGCAGCAGTGTAAGCTGATGCAATGGAATTGCCCACCTATTGGGCAAAAAACAAGAATGTAATTTAGTGTTAAATAACATTTTAAAAAATTACACAAAAGGTTATTGGTAATTAGGTTATACTTCCTTTACTATAAATACATGAAGAAATCTAATATGAAGTTACCGAAACTGAACTGCATATTAAACACGGACAAACAGTCTGAAAGCTTTGAGGTTATAAGCAGATGATACAAAACAGCTAACAATTCCTTAGGCAAGTCTGCTTTAGAGCAAGAAAACTATATTACCCACTTTAATTCAAATTTCTCAGATCAACATTTCTTATTAAGCTAAAATTGCAAATCTAATACTCAAACCAAAGCTGTTAAACCAAGGACACAAATTAAAGTGCAGTAACAGCATTAAAAGCAAAACAGGTTTCAGCCAGTGAATGAACTGTTTGAAGGATGGCAGATCAAGAGCAGGAAAACCAAATATGAGAAACTCTACAGTGAAATGGATTAATGGTGTCCTTTAACCCCTGATATTTGGATTCAGATTTAGTCTAGACTGATAAATTGAAATTGTGCTCTCTCTGTGAGGATCCTGCAGACCTGAAGTTCTCATAGTTCTAATAAGTATTGACAATTGCAAAACTCCCAATGAGTAGAGGTACAGAACAGCAAATTGCCCGAATGTACAGGTAGTGTCATTCAAATAACACAACAATAGCTGGAGTTGGAAATAGGCACTAATGGGACATTAGATGATGCTCTGCTGAAGACGGTGCAAAATGGAAAGAATTTTAGTGTCCAAATGGCTCTTTCATATTTCACCTGAGAGTTCTCAATACTGACATCAGCAACCTGAAATGGAAAGGCCATCCAAGTACTGATATCACTTACCTCAATAAAAAAAATAAAGGTACATATCGTTCAATGTAAAACGTCATGCTTAAAAGAGATCTAAATAATGGCAACTGAAAGCGTAATAATTATGCAGTAGTTACTATTTCCAACTTAACTAAAGACCGATAGTCTATTCAAAAAATTAGAATGACTTAAATGGTCACAGAATTCCATTATTATGGATTAAGTTTATAGTTAAAAACTTTTTGCTATTACACTTACCTATATCATCCAATTAGTTGTCCAGCAATATTTAAAAGAACACTACATAGCTCTAACAATCATTTGAACCAGAAAAGTCCACTTTGTAATATACACAGCATATATGTACAGAAAATTCTGTAAAGCTCCAAGCCCACAAGCAAAAAAAAAAATTAGTACTAGTCCAAACAATTTTAGTAGATCATGCTCAAGCATTTCAAGTTACAAAGTAGCAAATAAATTATATTTTTTTTCTAGAGAGTATGAATCCTCCAATATCTTTCCTTCCAACTTTCTCTTTCCAGCAAGGCATAAGTGCAGCCAGAAATGGGTGGCTTGCTCTCAGACCTCTATCCATTCACTTAGGATACAAGAAATGTAGAGATAGCATCCAATCAAATCTTCTTAAAAATTAATCTTGTCTAAGCATCTCCAACCACCAGAGCATGGTTCAAAGTAGGAGATAGTCTGCAACTATCATCACATATCATAACATCAAAGGTCACTATCAACTTCTTTCAATGATTTTAAAAATGATTACAGATCATTACCTGGTAATCATAGCTAAACAATTATTTCACATTGTATAATGTATCCAAAATATGAAGATTTTCCAAATAGTTTAAGCAATATTTTACCCTCCAGAAATTAGAATGTCACTAGCATGAAGAAGCACTTTTTAATCACATCATGCAAAGGGTTCATTAATCTGAATATCATCAGCAGTTAGTAAGGCAGCATAGCGCAAACTGTTAAGAATCCAGCAGCAAAGATTGCTGCTGCATAAAGTTTTTCACCCCAGGTGCAGACCGAGTTATTATTGTACCTGTTTTAACTTAAGCTGCATGGGGGGAAAGAAAGGAGATACACAGACATAAAATTTGTCAAGACGACACAATAGAAAGGACTTTCCAAGGAAGCAAGTTTCAAAAATCCATAACATAATTAGAATGCTCCTCAGTTAACCATTTCTTTTTTTATTTAATTAAAGTGGAAATTCCTCTTTACTGTCAACTCATTCCATAATAGTGGTGGAACATAGCTTGCTGGTTCACAAAAACACAAGTTCAAATGGACATCTTTTCAGAAGTCTGTCATGTTAATGTTTGTCTTCGAGGGTTATCTTTAAACACATTACTACTGTTTCAATCACAAACGAGATACTCAAAAAATGTTGAGGCTTCCAAATATATCCTAAAAAAGCTCAGAATTATTGAAGTACTTGACTGCCCATTAAATACAAGTCTGGAGCCGACAGTCTCTTTTCAATTAAGAAAATTCAAAAACTCCAATGATAGTTGGCCATTTTTGTGGATTGAAATCTTAAGAATAATGTTATAAATAATAAATAAAAAATTGCATGTAATCAGAATTGTATGTTACTTGAGTAGTTACGAGTCTAAGCGGAGTCCAATTCTTAAAATTTATCCCATTTATCCCATAAAAAAAACTGGATTGCAATTATAATGTAATTGATCAACAGATCACATCTTTACAAAATATTACATTAGAAAAATCTTTTTAAAGGAAGTGTAAAGCGCCTGTTGGAATCAAAAAAATTTTAAAGATTTTCAGCAGAACCATGATAACAACTTGTATAGACACAGGCTATGCATTGGAAGTAAATTACTCAAGTAAACATGCTTTGTGGCTTTGCATGGAAATGATATACTAAATAGATCTTCACTAATGCAGCTCCAGGAATAAGAACCTTTGAAAAGTTTTACAAATTGAAAAAAAAACAATGATGCATATGTTGCCAACAATCAATGCCATTGCAATAGTTTAAAATCCAGTCAGCATGTGGAATACGCCATCATGAAGTCAAAAATATGCATTTATTAATTTCTTACAAGGAGAAATTTGGAATAAGCAAAGGCAGGAAAAATGCAAAACTAATTCTGGTTAAAAGAAATTTAATAAAAAAATGCTAACAAATTAATGTTAAAATTAAAACTGGAGGAAATGATTCACAGAATTATACGCAACTTGGCAAAATATTCTAAAGTTTAAATACTTCAATACCATTTGTGTATTGCCTAAAAGGGAAATGCTGAACTCCTGAGGACTTATTAGGACAGGTTCAAGACAGTGCCAAATTTCAAAAAGAACGAAATTCATACAGATGAGAAAAGGAAGGTAACTGATCAAAGCCTTGTGAAGGAGAACGTGCCAATAACCAGTTATTCCTCCAAGCTTATGTTTAAATTCAACCTGGCATGTCATCTCTGATTGTTTGAGGCATTACCATGTGGAATGCAGCATGGAACAGTTATTCCCAAGCTGTTGTTTACTTGAAAAAGCACGATGTCTGCACATATTTTTATTGTTTACAAAGGACAGGGACCTGCACATAAACACTTAAATATGCTGCTAAGTACACCACAGAACTCTGTGCCATGTCAATATATGACAGCGATCTGGTCTCGCCACTATTGTCCAAATCTGCATTTTTGAACTTATGGACTTCAGCTTTAAATGGCGTACGCCCAAGTAGATGGTGATGCCAGAGGAATTCTTTTGCCCCAGATTTTGCCACAATATTGTTAGTTTCCACAAGACACTCATCTTCAAATGGACGATCAATCACCCTCCTACCCCTTGTATACTTTCAATACACAGGTGATATTTTTGCTAGATTTGAATCTTGAGCTAAATGGAAGAATTGTCTTACACACCTCAATGGCATCCATTTTGCACTCAAATTCACCTTTGAAATGGAGAAGTCTAACAAGCTCCCTTCACTCATTGTGCTAGTTGAGAAATTAGATGGATTTTCCATTACTGTCCACTATAAGAATAAATGTTGGGATTCTTATAGCTCCACGTGGTATAAAACTGACCTATTAGCAACTTATAAACAGGGCCCAACCCATTAGCTGACTGTGTAAGCTTGAGAATGAAACAGAGTGGATCAAATCGTTCCTGGGGAATCATGACTATCCCAATCAGATCATTGCTCACTATGTACTGCAACACTCACTAACAGGCTTAAAATCACCACTCTGGGACTGGAAAGTGCCAGATAAGATGCATCAAAAAACTCAACAAAAGTGAAGCATGTTTTATCACACTATATAGTAGCAAATAGTATTCTCTACTAACAGGATGCTGACGTCAAACCAAAACTATGTTCTGCCTATGACATACACGGCACGTGAATTTCAGGGCTGGCGTGTTCCCAGGTACATAGGACACAGCTTCCAACAAATGGTGCATGGAAACTAATAATATGTCCCTTCAGCTGTTTACAACAGGCACACAGTACTGACCATGCTCAACCAGCCTGTGTCCAACACTGGTTTGATTTTGGATTGGTTAACACTTTCTAAAAAGAATCCTGATTATATTAGGAATTACAGTAGCAACTAATTTAACATGTATTGGGTTCAAAATGTGGCTTACTTCTGCTTGTTAGAAGCTACATACATTCACAGACTGACAGACGGACATTCAAAAGACAAGCCCTGCAGATGAAAGTACAAGTCTAGACATTGTGACTTACTCAGCTAAACAAATAAGTTTGCAGGACAACTGTTCCTGCCATGGAGAATGCAGCAATGCTTCATCCACTTACAAATAAATCACTGCCCCTTTCTCAAGCAGTGTAAGTGGTTGTTCCCTTTAAAAATTCAGCACACTCACAATTCTGTCCTAATAAGTTCAAGACAAAAAAAATCTGACTGCATGTCATTTTTTTTCCCCCAAAGAAAAATCTCAAGTTTTGTAATACCAAACAACTATCCTTTGCTTATACAATTATACCTAAAAATCTTGTTGTCAGCCTTTCCCAAACAACTCATGCCAGGATAAATTCCCACACGTGATGTTGGCTCTTTGATCCCCCAGTCCTATAACTGCTCTTTTTATGAGAGTTTGGACAGAGATTGTTAATTAACCAAGACAGTTGATCCTGACCTTATCGAATCATTAGCATAATTTCTAA